GAGATACGTGGAATAGAAGAAGAAGAAGAGTAGAGAACCAACTTCCATACTTATATTTATTCCCATTTTTAACTCATAATAAATATTTCTAAAAGAATGAATATTAAATTCATTTCCTTCTAAAAGACCATAATGCCCCTTCATTCTTAAAAATAAGTCTTAAACACAATTTCCTACATCAGTCCTTGTATTTTTCAATTTATTCAAATTAAACCACCAAATTTTAAATTCTTACACAATAGTCATTGGCCCGATGTTTAGGGTATTATAATTCTCCCCCTTAAGAAAATTCATCCCCAAATTTTAAGATGTACCTGATGTAAAGAGGTGTGGAACTGCTTCCTCATATCCTCCTCTCTTTCCCAAGTAGCTTCTTTGACTTTATGATTTTGCCAAAGTACTTTAACTAGAGGAATCTTCTTGTTACGCAATTCTTTGATTTCTTGAGCCAAGATCTGCACTGCTTCTTCTTTGTAAGTCAAATTTAGTTGGATCTCTATTTCCTATGGTGCGATAATATATGATGGATCTAATCGGTACTTCTTGAGCATCGACACGTGAAAAACATTATGGATCTTGTCCATATCGAGAGAAAAAGCTAACTGATAAACTACTGGTCCAACCCTTTTTAAAATCTCATATGGTTTAATAAATCTTGGACTCAGCTTTCCTTTATGTCCAAACCGCAATACTTTCTTCGAAGGCGATAATTTCAGAAATACCGTATTTCTCACTCGAAATTCAATCTCTTTTCTCTTTAGATCAGCATAAGACTTTTGTCGACCGGAAGCTATCTTAAGATTATCTTGAATAACTTTCACGTTATCTTCCACAATAATATAAACATCCATCAGTCCTGATTTCGAAGTCTTTGGTCTCACATTTTTCTACTAGTGCAATTCTTGCCAAACATTTTACATCTTTTCCTTGTAGCTCTTTTATCCAATCCAACAGCTCAACAATCAAGGTGTCATCTTCCTTTAATGATATACTTGTATCCAAAACTCGTAAAGCTGTAAAAGTATTTCGGCTAAGTGCATCAACTACCACATTAGCCTTACCCGGATGATAATCGATGATCACACCATAATCTTTTAAAATCTCGATCCATCTTCTCTGCCTCAATTTCAGTTCTTTTTGAGTCAACAAGTACTTTAGACTTTTTTGGTTTGTATAAATATAGCACCACTTACCGTAGAGATAATGACGCCAAGTCTTCAAAGTAAACACGACCGCTACCAATTCTAAGTCATGTGTCGGGTAATTTCTCTCGTGAAACTTCAACTGTCTCAAGGCATAAGCCATAACTTTCCCTTCTTGCATAAGCACACATCCCAATCCATTATGAGATGCATCATTAAAAACTACAATCTTTACCCGACTCAGGTTGTACACGTACTGGTACCTCTGTTACAATCCTCTTTAGCATTTCAAAACTTTCCTGACATTTATCTGACCAAACAAAAGACACATCTTTCCATAACAATTTAGTTAACAGTGAAGCTAACATCGAAAAGTTCTTCACAAACCTTCGATAATAACCAAAAAGCCCCAAGAAACTCTGAACTTCAGAAATATTATTTGGAGTTTCTAATCCACTATAGCATGAATCTTTTTGGAATCTACTCTTATGCCTTCTACATATACTATATGGCCAAGAAAAGCAACCTCTGCTAACCAGAATTTACATTTGGATAGTTTGGCATACAACTTCTTCTCTCGAAGAGTCTGAAGAACAATACAAAGATGAGCATCATGCTCCTCTCTTGACTTTGATTACACTAAAATTTCATCAATAAATACCACCACACATTGATCAGGTAAGGTTGGAATACTCATTCATTAAATTCATAAATGTTGCAGGAGCATTAGTCAAACCAAATGGCATCACCACAAATTCATAATGTCCATACCGAGTCTGAAAAGTTGTCTTTTAAATATCATCTTCTTTAATATTTAATTGGTGGTATCCTAACCGAATGTCTATTTTAGAGAACACTGTTGCACATTTCAGTTGATCAAACAGATAATTAATCATCAAAAGAGGATACTTATTCTTTATTGTTACCTTATTTAACTGTCAATAATCTATGCATAATCGCATAGACCCATCCTTCTTTTTCACAAAAAGCACAGGTGCCCCCAAGGTGAAACACTGGGTCTAATAAATCCTTTGCCGAGCAACTCCTACAATTGGGCCTTTAATTATCTTAACTCAATTGGAGTTATTCGATATGGAGCCATAGAAACAGGTTCAGTACCTAGGTAAACATCAATCTTGAATTCCACCTCACAGTTTGGAGATAAGCCCAATAATTCTTCTGGAAAAACATCTGGAAACTCCCAAACTATTGGAATATCATCTAATCTCGGTTATGATATTCGAGTGTCTATTACGTTAGCCAGAAAAGCTGCACACCCTTCCAATATCATTTTCTTTGCAGTCATTGCTGATATCACATTGGATGATGATTTCACTTTTTCACCGATTACTATGATTTCTAAGCCCTTCGTATCCTTAAAAAATAATCGCTTCTTGTGATAATCAACCCATCCATGATGTGGAGACAACCAATCCATGCCCAAAATAATTTCAAACTCATCGAAAGGAAATTCTATCAAGTTTGTTGAGAACACAACCCCTTGAATCTTTATCGGGCATTTTCTACATACTCGAGTTACCCTTGTACTATGACCCATAATGTTTACCGCTATCATCTCACTAAAGATTGGTTTTAAAGGAATTCCTCTTACTCTAATCAACTTTGTACTAATATAAGAGTGCGTAGAGCCAGGGTCAACCAAAATAAATACAAGTTCATCAAAAAGATGGAATGTACCTGTTAAAATCTCCGGGTCATCCTGATCCTCGTTAGTCTTAATATTATAAATTCTGGCTACTCCCCATGTCTTTGGTTATGGAATTGACTCAGATTGTCCTCCGAATCTACATCTTACTCTGCCTCTATTAGATTATGCTATTGATCTCTCAGTCTGTACTGATATATCCCTATATCTCTTAGGATAATCTTGAGCATTGTGTCCAGTTTCACCACACAAAATAAAGCGCCACTGAGCAATCTATATACTCCACAGTGAAGATAGTCACACGTTTGACATGAAGTAGTTCATTCTCCATATGCTCTTCCCGAGCTAGCAGCAAAGGACTGTGATTGTTTATTCTTTTTCGAAGCTGCAGAGAAACCATCTCTATTATTGTATTGGGAACTCGAACCTTTGCCTCTCTTAGTATGATAGGAAGTTGAAGATGTTCTAACTCATTTTCCCGTTTTCATACCAAGTTCCGCTGCTAAAGTCTCCTCTTGAACTCTTTCAATAGCCTTACCTCGATTTATGACTTCTTGCAGGCTAGGCAAGTTTAAAGCCAACATCATCTTTTTCAACTTAGGTCTCAATCTTTTGATGAACCAATCACGTCGAGTTTTGTCATTGGGAACTACTTTAGTAGAAAAATGACCCATTTTGCTATACTCAACCTCGTGTTCATGTATTGCTCGATCACCTTGTTTCAGATTAAGAAACTTCAGCAGCATCGTCCTCCTAAACTACTTACCAATGTACTTGTTCTTAAATTCATCCTGAAAGAACTGTCATATCACTTGCTCAGGTGGTGCATACATCGTAGTATTTTGCACCACACTCGAGCTGATCCTCGAAGTAAAGATACAACTCCACCCTTTTTTCAAAATTTGAGCAGTGAAGACTTTCAAGCATCATATTAACATCATTTAACCATAAATTAGCATCTATAGGACCTTCATCCTCTTTTCCCCGGAACTCAGGTGCTCCCAAAATTTTTAGCTCTTTTGGGATTAACATCTGTGGTGCTGGAGGAGTAGGGGGAGGCAGAGGAGGTTGAAATCAAGTCAAGATTGCATCAACAACCTGTATAGAAGCTTCAAACTCTGGAACTGGCATACCCTGGTGTACCGGTGCACTAGCATTTTCAGACTGGATCGGATGCTCACTATTAGCTTCATTGCTCTCGCTTCCCGACCCTTCTCTAACTTCTTGTTCAATCGCTCTCTGCGAATTCATAGATTCTGACATCTTATAGAACATACATAATAATAACAACTCAAGTTAGTAAGGAGTAACATCAATCATATTCTAAAGACACCATATCAGTAACTTTGACATCTTACTTACATGTAAACCCTTTTTAAAGTAAAATACACATAATTTCGGTCGAGAATCGGCTAAACTTGTAGCTATGATACCAATAAATGTAACACCAATTTTCCATATACGTCCCCGTACAAGAGTCAAAGATGCCACATGAATTTTAAAATATTTCCATATTTGAAAACAAATAAAATTTTGTTTCTATAAATAAAATATTTTAATATAATAAAAATAAAATGTTCATTAACTATTAGTAAGTAAAATAACCTTCAAGTTCTAACATAGTAAATACTACAACCTCATAATTTAAATATATTCCAGAGCATTATCATAAGTCTATTACATGCCATCTAATAATGTTAAAAGTACACATAATTGTCATACAGTTACTGATGAGGCAACCTTTGAGTTACGATGTCAGTTGTACTCCTTACTTCATTCGTATTATTACCTACGCGTTAAACCAACACACGATAAGTATTCACTTAGTGAGGCATAATAATATAAAAGAGGCGTAACCGAAACATAATATATTACGTAATATCAAAATACAAATTTAATCGTCTAATTAATAGTAATACATATAACTGACTTGGTAAACCAAATTTCTTTCACCTAACCCGCGAAACAATAATTAATATGCCCACCATACCTATCAATCAGTATTTTTCCGAAGTATCATTTTATTTTCCCAATGTATGTTGAATGAGAATGCATGGTACATGAGTTGCACATAAGTGCTAAACGAATGCATAGGCTTTGTAATGACATCAACACTATACTAAGGTAACGAAATAGTAATTCACAAACTCATTATGAATACCATGGGTTCACACATAGTGTCGAAAGTACACATAGTACTGATACGAAAATGCAACATATGCATTAAACAAAATCAATCGATAACCATCATACACAAAGTATGTCGAAATGCACCTATGACTCTCAATGTATATACATTAGGCCTTTAAATCAAATTCACATATTAAACATTTATTTTGAAACATCGATAGAAGTTAAAACAATATAGAAATTCATCCATCTATTTTAGAGCAATTCATACTCTAAAATTATTTGTAAAATCATTTTCAAAAACTTTATGAATATATTTTAAAATATTGTAAAACATCATTTTATAAAAACGTTCAAGGTTGACTTATCATAAGTTATCCTCATATCATATAACTACATACTATATGCACTCACCTGATATGCCTCAATATTATGCCTTAATATTGACCGACTATTCTGCTACTTTATCTTTGCCCTTTTGTTTGATTGTCTTCGGAATTTGATTACGATCTACCCAAGCATCCATAATCACACATACAATATAATATACGATGTTAGTATACTTTCTAACATTTATACAAAATAATAATACTCAAAAGTACTATTATTTTTGAATTCCTTTAAAATTCATCCTAACTTTTCCTTTTTATTCATAATGGACCCTTGTCATAAATCCTTCCAATAAATCCCTCAACCAGTAATTTCTAGTAGTATACATCTAATATTAACAAATTCACCTTTACACAAACAAAATAAACCATCTACTTAAAATTTCAGACTGAATAGTATCAGTAGCCCTCTTAAGAATCGATTCTTATCTTATACGGTATTGATACCCACTTCAGTATCGATACAATTTTTGCATTCTGGAATCCATTTTTAACCTTACAGTATCGGTACTTCTTTTCTACGATATTGATATTAATTTGATCAGTATTGATACTGTTCATCATAGTCATACACTTTCCTCCAATTTTACCTTATAGTATCGGTACTGTTCTTCCAGTACCAATACCCTTACCCAGATTTTACTTATTTCACTTCGATTTTTGCCCAAATTTCACCTAAATCTCTTACTCTTATCTTCAACCCTAACATCAAACTCATTATCACTTATCCCAACTAACTTACATTAATAAATATCCTTATAAAATCGAAATCCTCCAAAGAACACTTGAAACTAAAAATCACACTCAAAATTCAAACATGTTTTCAATCACTTCTAAGGCTCCAAATCTCTTATTTACATCTTTGACAAGTCAAATATACTTTCAAACTCCAATTACTTGATAAATTTCATCAAATCACTTAAAACCCATTTTATTAAATCACTAATAAATAAATAATCTCTTAGTTTTAATCATCCTTAAACATTCCTTAAGCTTCTATAACATTTAAGACTTCAAAACCAACCCAAAAATGAAAGGAAAAACCAACTTCAAAATACTTCACCTTAGCAATGGAGGTACAAGGAAGAGAAGAAGAAGAAGAGTAGAGAATTAACTTCCAAACTTATAATTTTCCCCCTTTTTAACACTTAGTAAATATCTATAAAAGAATGGATATTAAATTCATTTACTTCTAAAAGACCATAATTTCCCTCCATTCTTCCATTCCTAAAAATAAGTCTTAAACACAATTTCCTACATCAGTCCTTGTACTTTTCAAATTATTCAAATTAAACCACCAAATTTCAAATTCTTACACTATAATCAGTGACCCGAAGTTTGGGGTATTACATGGTTTACCAAAAAGGTTAATTAACGATAATGCAACCAATTTAAACAACAGAATGATGGATGTTGCATGTGAACAATTCAACATAAAGCATCACAACTCTACTACTTACCGACCAAAGATGAATGGAGTAAAAGAAACATCAAACAAGAACATCAATAAGATAGTAGTGAAAATGACTGAGACATACAAATAATGACTCGAGAACTTACCTTTTACCTTGTTTGAATATCAAACTTCGGTGCAGACTTTGACTAGGGCAACCCTATTTTCATTAGCTTATAGGATGGAGGCTGTGTTTCCCATTGAGGTGGAAATCCCATCACTTTGGGTTTTGTCAGAAGAAAAGTTGGATGATGCGAAATGGGCACAAACTTGATATGATCAATTGAACTTAATAGGGGAGAAGAGGTTGAGAGCCATTCACCATGGTCGACTCTACAAAAAATGAATGATTCAAGCACACAATAACAAGGTGCGCCCAAGAGTATTCCATGAAGGAGATCTCATGCTAAAAAAGATTTGGCCAATTCAAAAAGATTTAAGAGGAAAATGGATGCCGAATTAGGAAGGGTCTTATTTCGTGAAAAAAAGCCTTCTCTAGAGGAGCACTAATCTTGACCGAAATTGACAGGCCCGAACTACCCAATCCAGTTAACTCTGATGCAGTCAAAAGACATTTCGATTAGGGTGAAAACTCTAAAGGGCGTCCTAATTTGAAGATTGAAAAAAAAGAAAGGGGGAATGTTTAGAGTGAAAACCCGAAAGGACACACTAAATTGAAAAAACAAAAAGAGAAAAATAAAAGGTGAGTCCAAGATTAAAACCCGCAAATGGCGTCTTGAAACCAAGGGATGATCCAAGTTGTAAACCTGAAATGACGGCTTGGGTATTGATTCAAGATTCGCGCATGAGGAGGTCCTGGATCAAAGCATTAAAGCATCACGACATCCAAGTCCTCGGAGACTTAATAATTTGGGAGAAGCTTTGCACCCTTTCAAACGTTGTCACAAATTTTAAAGTCCCCTTGGCAAAAGCTACACTCAAATTCATCTAACAGTGAGCCAGTTCAAAGGCGTCCACATTATCAATATTTGGAGCACCTATTTGTCTTTTTGAATATCTTCTTTTTTCAGAATGTTTGCCATGTATTTAATTTTTCCTCATAAATAAATATGGCCATATTTTTTGAGATAACACAATTTCTTAGCATCTTGAAATGATTTAAATAAGAATGATTTATTCACATGGAAAAAGATAATTGTGTATTACTGCACAAAGATTTCCTAAGAAGTACAAGTGATTGGAAGCATATAGAGGTTCTTGCACAATACTCGAAAGAATGACACAAATATTAGATCGAACCTCATTGAGGAGTAGAAAATGCATCGATTAAAGATCAAAATCAAATTCATAGAAGAAAATCAAGACTTCTTTATAAAACAAAAATTCCAAGAGGGTACCAGCATAAAGCCCGTTGAGGATTAGAAAATCACGAATCAAAAGTCAGAAAATCAAGATTGGCAAGAATCAAGAAACGCCAGAGAAATCAAGACTGACAAAAAGAGATTGAGATTTCTCTCTAAAGGGGAAAATACTAAAATAACATATTTTGCATATGCATTTTAGGCATACATAAGAGCATTACATCTATAGCATTGCACACATGGGTACAATTTTGCAGATCTTTGTCAGAGTCAATTTCAAATTCACAATGAAGGATATTGAACTCGAAGAACACTCAAGATTAAAAACAATACAACTTGGATTTCAACTTCATAGCGAAGGACAACCAACTCAGAAAAACATTCAATCTGGACTTAACTTCACGACGAACGAGTCACATACGATTTCAACTTCACAATAAAGGATAATGAAGGAGTCATCTACAACATAGTTCAACTCAATAACGATGAACTATTTCTCAACTAGGTCGTCTAGTCAAATTTCAACTTCACAATGAAGGATATTGGACTAGAAGAAGACCGAAATTAACTACGGTTTATCTTAACTTAAAGGCGATGAATTAGTGCCTAACCCAAGCATCGAACTAGATTTCAACTTCACAACGAAGGATATCATGCTCAAAACCTCCAAGACTGACTCTACTTCACGACGAAGGGGTTAACCATGATTTCAACTTCATGACGAAGGATATTGTGCGCAAAGACATCTCAAGATCGACTCAACCTCACGACAAAGGAGTCATCTGTAACTCAGCTCAACAACAAGGAGTTATTTCCTAATTGAAGTCTTCAAGTCGAATTTCAACCCCATAATGGAGGATAAGAGAATTGACTTTAACATTGAGTCGGATTTCAATTACACATTAGCTTCTGGAATCCATTCACATCGAACGAAAATTTATGTCCTTTAATCTTTGCCCAATTTTCATTACACGATAAATGGTTAAAGAGGGGCAGCTGTAGATACTCGTTTTCGTCAGGATTTCTTTTTATATTATTATGTAGTATATATTATTTTACATAGTATATATTATATAGTATGGTATATTATATAGTATATATGTTATAGTCTTTATATAGTGTATAGTATTATATATTATAGTATATTATATATTATAATTATATATTATATTATATAGCATATATTATATATTTGTATTATATAGTATATATATATATTATGTTATATTATATATTATATAATAAGTATTATATATGTGATAGTATTATATTATATATATATATATTACATTATATAGTATATATATTATGTTATATAATATGTATTACATATATATTATATTATATTATATATATATATATATATATATATATATTATATTATATTATTTTTTATTAATATTATTTATTTGTTTTGAATAATGTTTTTATTTTTAGGTCCAAGTTCAAAAGCCCAATCGAGTCTAAAAACGGAGCCTAATCGAACTATGCTAGCCTGAACCAAAAAAAACAAGCCCGATTAGGTGGAGAGGGCCTGACCTAACCCAAGTCAACTAGGGTTCCAACATTTAGTAAAGGTATCGCACGGGGTGGCTCAAATGGCGCGTGAAGACCACGCGCCGGCAGCACACGTTAAAACACGCCAAACCGACAATCTCGGGGAAATTTTCTGGTGACTAAATTAGAATATTTCCCCAATTTTCTCGGGAATATGGCGATGAGTTTAACAGGAATACGAACGCACAAGTAAAATCCCTGTAAAATTGGGATTTCGGTGACTTGATTCACCTTTTTTCTGTGCCATAAAAGCCTCTAGTTAGGCATCATGAAAAACACAAGAAAAATCGAGCATCAAGCAACCAAGAAACAAAGCAATACACAACCAATATACGAAAACCCAAACCAAAGTAAAAAAGCAACAACATTCGAAATCAAAAAAAAAAAAACAAAGCTTAAATCTTTGTTTCATCGAAGGTTGTCAGGACGTGTAGAAGCCTCGCCGGGAAAGGAAAGCCACCGGAAGTTGAAGGGACGTCGTTGGACTAAGGTAAAACCAAAACTCCAAGTGTAGAACTATGCTATTAGGGTCATTTTTAGGACGAATAGGCTCTGATTCTGCGTTTATCGGGTCAGGGAGAGCGTTTTAGGCTAGTTTGGATTTTTTTCGGCCACCAGAGACAGTGGTCGGAGTGGCGATCGGGCGGCAGATGGGGTCATCGGCGGGTGGCCGACACTTGGCCGGTTGAGGGTAAGTTGAGAGAATTTTAAGAAAGGGGAGATGAGAGATTTGAGTGAAATGGTTAAAATGAATGGAATTTGTGATTTTTGAGCTATTTATAGGTAGGGTCTTTGTGTAATTATCAAATAGTTAAATTATTTTGATACATAATTCATTTTGGTCACCTATTGTAATTTTGCCTTGGAGTTTTGAATTTATTCAATTTAATCCATGTTTATATTTTTCATATTTTGCAAATTGGCCCCTAACCTTTATAATTTCTTTCTTCCAGCTCACTTTAGAATCAATTTGACCCATAAATTTCAATTTATTTCAGTTTAATCCTCTTTAATATTTATATTTTTAATTAAATATTTTCTTTATTTCATTTTTTATCTTTATTTTATTATTTACTTGATTCTTATTTTATATTTTTAATTTAACCTTTTTAACATTAATTTCATATTTTTTAGGTTATTCTAAATTTGTCAAAGGTAACTAATTTGGATCAAACTTTTAAATTTTAATTTAACTTTTATTTTTCGCAATTAAGACAATTGAGAAATCAAATTGGTACCGAAAGGGCAGTACGGGGTGCTAATTCTTCTTTGACTGTAATTGACTCCTGAATCCGACATATTTTTGGAAAGTTACAGATCAGATAACAGTAAATTATAGTATCTGATCGACCAAATTAAAACGATCGGTGACGATTCCATCACACCAAATTAAGTTGGACTCGATTCCTGAATCACTCGAAGGACGATTGCGACAAATAGTAAAGAACGGAAGAATTACGTGTGAACCATTTTAATCAAAAGCGACAATCAAGTTAAATAGAATGTGAGTAATTGGATTGAGAGAGACGATTTCTTAAGAAAATGTTGATTTATGTGGACGTTAAGTTAGTTATCCCATACGTTCTTTTGGATTTTTAATGGTTACCATTCGTTGACGTTGAATTAATTAAAAAAAATTAAATTCGATGATTTCAAGCACAATATAAAAATATAACACAATTAGTCAAACAAAACAAATTAAACTTTTAATAAATATATTATAGTCATGAATTAAAAACACAAAATTCAATAAATTTACAGGGTTTCTTTTAGTGAAAGTGAATGGATGGAATGGGGGACACGTATCCAAGGATGCACGTGCAAACATCAAATCCAAAGGTTATTTTTTTCCAGTGTAAAGTACACTGCATTTAAACTTCATACTTCAAATAGTCGGTCCATGCGTGCTTCTTTTCTTCTTAATAAATGGCTACCCGTGTGGACGGTTAGACTTTACATCTACAAAATTTCCAATAACAATAATAATTTCATTCAATACATTTTAAGATTCATCGTGGTGATTAACTTTTAATTCATTAGAGTAAATATATTTAAATTATTTATTTTTATTCGTTCATATTCTTTAGACACGTGCTTTAGATTTATTGAGAGTATTTTCTTTAATTTTCTTAAAAAATTTCTAGAAATTTTAAATTTAAACAACGATGCCTATAAGATTTGTGTGGATTATTAATCGGTTAATAAAATTATGAACATTATTATAATCATTTCAGATTATTAAAAAGTAATTATTCATTATAATATACATAAAATTATGAGCTTTAAAATATTACATCAATTAAAATAAAATTTAACATTTTAAATTTAAGTAGATTTAATTATATATTTTTTATTTCAAAAAATATAATTGATTAAGAATTAAAATTGTATCATTATAAAAAGTTCATGCTTTTTATAGATTATAAAATTCTACTGTAGCAACGATTAAAAGTTTAAAAAAATTATCATTAAAATTATTAAATTGTCTAAT